AAAGTATAAATATAAAGGTCTAGAACTATAAAATTAATAAGTTTTAGAGCCTATATAAAGCGTATTAAAATCTTCTTATTTTCTTAATAACTTTATATCCCTTAAATAGTTCTACGATTACTAGCTTATCGCTCTTAATAAGCGCGTTAAAGAATACGTTAATAGCGTTATATTAATTAGCCTCGAGGTTGAATTAAATAGCTATTGCTATTATAAGCTTAAAGGCCTTTATAGCAAGCGTTAAGGTACGTATTTTATAAAGGGTTAAGCGGTTATATATCTCCCTTTATATATATACTACTTTTACTTCGTAGACCTCGTTATTAATATTATATTTATAAATATATATTTACTTTAATAGAAGTAGGATCCTTGTTTAGGATCATAGTTAACCTCCTCCTATATACTAATATTTTTAGCTTTTTTATTTCGTATCTATAGCTTCTTTAAATAGCTTTTATAGTTACTATAAAAGATATTTAATATTATTAAACTTTTTTAATAAGCTCGCGAAATTAACTTTATTAGGTTATAGCTTATATACTATACTAGGGCGCTCTAAGTAGGTCCTATAAACTACTCCTTTTAATATTTAATAAAGTATTATATATCCTATATTACTTTCTTTTATTACTTTTTATTAATTAGGTATAAAGGTAGAGAAAAAGCAGTCCTAATAGTGCTTATAATAATCGCCGTTTTCTATATTTAAATATAAAAGCGTTATAAAGATACTACTATTAAAGCGTTATAGAGGTTTACGGGCTCTATTTAAATATTTAGGACCCGTATAAACCTTACTTAGCTCTCGCTAAGGCTATTTATATAAACTCTATTTTTATATAATAATAGAAATTTATTATAAGGGTTCCTTATTAACGTCGACTTTAATATTAGGAATTATATTTCGTAATCGTACTTTTTACTACGTACTTTAACTTCTTATTAAGAGCCGTTAAGAATTAAAAGCTTAAGAACCTCGTAATATATATAAGCGCTTATAAAGAGGACTATAGACTACGTAGAGCTATTTATAACTTAGTTACTATACCCCTTTTTTACCCCTACCCCAAGCTCGTATAAAGGGGTTATTTTAGGGGTTAATAATACGGTAAAACTAAGTTAGCTTTATTAATATTATTATTTATACCCTAGAGTACGTCTATCGGTTATTTAGCGTCCTAAATAATTAAAAATTTAATAGTAATATTATCCTCGACTATAAAGTTATCCTAAATATTAATATTTCCAAAGTCTAGATCTACCTCCCTAAGTATTTAAATTATTTCGTTATTAACGTTAAAAAGTTTTTATATTTTTAAAATTACTAGATTTATTTATTTACTTATAATAGCTTACTCTTCGTATATAGGATTATAAAAGACTTTTTTATTAAACTTAATATTCTTTATAACGAATACCTATTCGAGCGCGGGTACTTAGATCCTATATAATTATACATTTCGGTATATATTTAACTAAATATTTAATATACCCGCGGAGAAGTATTTATATTCTTTTATTATATACCCTTTTTACGATCCTATAAAAAGGATATACTTAGTAGCTATATATATATAGACTACTAAAATACGGGGTTATTAATTTAGAATTCTATATTTAGTAACCCGTTTATTATTAGCGCTAATATCGCTTCTATTAGTTAATTTTTATTATAATAGCAAGTCTTTATCGTTAGCCTCCCGTAAAGTAATATTATAAATAAATATTGCTACTAATACCGCTTCGTCCTAGAGCTTCTTAGGAGGTTTATAAAAAGGCATATTTTATAAGCTTTAATAATTACGAGTTAACCTACTCTTTTATATTACCTATAGGTTCCTTTATATATAGAAGTAGAAGTTCTATTTTAATTTTTAGCTTATTATACTATATTTTATAAACGTGTTTAACGTTTATTATAAGGACCGCGGTTTCGTTATTATTTTAAAAGAAGTAGATTAGAGTTCTTTTTTAACGACGGATCGCTACTTCGAGGCTCTAGAATATATAAAGCACTTCTTTTTCGGTTTTATTTTTTAAAAAGAACCCCCTAAGCTATTTATTATATTCGTTAAAGGCTATAAATATATATTATCGTCTATTTAAAGAGGGCTCGAAATAAAAGAGATCTTAATATACTCAGTACTATAGCCGTAAAGCGCATTTTAAAGGCGGTCCTTTTAAAATTACTAATTTAGCTTTAAATATTATATAAGCTTTATATTTAACTTATATTAGAGGCTTAATATATACTCTACGAGTTTTATATAGAAGTTAACGAAGGGTATTAAGTCCTAAATAACCAGTTTTAAAGTACTATAAAAGCGTATTATTAAATCTTTTACGAATACGTTAATATAAGCGGCAGAACTTTCTATAGCTAACTAATAATATAATACTAGCTAGGCTTTTAAAGATACGGTTAAGGGCTATAGTAGAAAGGTAAGATTAAAAGAGCTTATATTTAAAAAAGACTAAGTTATTTTTTTAAATTAATTACTTTTTAACGGTATTTTTATAAAGCGTTCTTTATTATAAAATATAATCTAGACTATAGTATTAGAGTGCGCTTCTATTTAAAAAAGTCTTTAAGACTATATTTATATAGAAGCCCTCGATATAAGTAACGTTTTAAAGCTTTAAATGTATATTCCCTCCCCTTTAGGTCTATTTAAAACGCCCTTTATAATCCGAGTCCTATATATAATAACGGGTAATATAATAGTTTTTAATTTAACGTAGTTATCGTTACTTAATAATATATAGCTTTTAAATTTTAATAAGCTCTTATCGTTAACTAAGTATATCGCCCCGTAGCTATTTATTACCGTATTTTAAAATAAAGGATAAGTGCTATTTATAGGGGTATTAAAAATTACATTCAATTCTGTTTTTTAACTTTTAATAAGTATAGCGACTACGTAGCCCTCGTCTTAGTTTATTAATAAGCTCGTTATAAGCTAGTTAGAGGATCCTTTTAAAAGCCGAGGCTTTTTAGGGGTTCTATCGTCCTTTAGTTAATTAACTTTTTTAAGTTTACTATAAAATAATTTCTATTTATTTAATTTAATCGCGGTAAGGACCTCTTCTATATAGCTATTAGATATTTATATTAAGGACCTATTAGTATTACGATTTATAAGTGCCTACTTTAGTTTTTAATATACCGAAGGCCGCTAACGGTATACGTAATTATACGGGTATATAACGTCCCCCTTATTATTTACGTTTTTATATAAGTTAGAACGCCCTAAGAAAGTAAAATAAGCCCCTCTTTAGCCTAAAGGCCGTTTCGTATATACTTTTTAGGTTACTAAGCTAAACGTATATATAATCTCCCCGAGGGTTTTAATATACGTCCTAAAAGCGATTAATTTATAGAAAGCGTTATGAGTTCGTTAGCCCTATATAGGGTTAAACCTAAACTTAACTACTTTTAAAAAATTAATTATAGCGATCTCTTTTTAAATTTCTAGAATATTATATATCTTTATTTAAAAATAAATAGACTACTACTTTTTATATTAGCGTTAGGTATTAACTCCGTTCTTTGCTTTATTAAGGACTTATTTATATTTTTACCGAACTATACTCTTAACTATAGCCTTAGAGGGCGCTAAATCCTATTTTAGTTACTAGACGATCCGTTAAATACTAAACTTAATACCTTTTTAGGTTACTTTCTAGAATACGTATTTATAAAGAGTAATAATAATAGACTTTTTTAACTATTAAATAAAGAGTTTAATATATATATTAATATTATTATATTTAAGAGCTATAATTTAGTAGTATTTAGCGGAAAGCTCTTATTCCTTTTAAATATTTTCGAGTATATAGATCTTCTTTACGGGTACAGTATAAGGATATATTTAGTTATATAAAGTTAGTAATATAGCTAGTCTTATAAAAAGAACTCTAGCTAGATCTTATAGATTATTTATATTCGAGGATATTAAAAAGGTCGTGCTAAGAGTTAGGGCTAGAAGTTATTAATAAAGGATCTTTTATTTTTATTAATCGTTTTTAAACGCCTTACGGCGAGTTTTATAAGCTCGTCGTTCTTTTTTATTATAAGTTAAAAATAATAGTTCGAAATTTAATAATAAAGAGAATACTATAAGAGGAGCGAGGAATACGTCGGAGTCTAGAGCGTTTAGATCGACGTATTTCTAAACTTCGAGGCCTTTATTTATAAAATAAAAAGCTTAGAACTATTTAATTTAACTATCGCGGCTAGTTAACTTAGCTTAATTAAAAGTTAATATAAAGATATTTATTATTTTAAAGAGATAATAAGAATTATATTAATAAATACGTTATTATATTTTGGGGTCTTAATTAAGAGCTGGGCTTATAACTATTATAAATTATAGTATATAGTAATAGGTATACGGAATATAGTAAAGTAGCCTAACTTATTAAAGTAAAAATAGATAAAAGAGAAAGGTCTATATATAGGATGTAAATGAGATATACGTAATATAGTACGTAATAGGCACTTTGTAGATTGCGGTCCCTATCCTTGTTACGTAACAGAGCAGCTATGCTAGGATCATTGATCTCTCTTCATCTGCTGTGAGCCTGGGATGTCCTCCCCAGCCTGAATCCGAGGTGCCAAGCCTGCATCATGCAAGCTGATATCCGTACTTCCTGCCCCTTTGCACAGGTATTGTAAACGGCGCCATAGTCTAGCTTACGAGGGGACGCAGCCCAAGACCCTCTCCGAAGGTATTCAGAGAAGCCACTTCCAGATATCTTATGTCATCAACAAGTTGAATGCAGTAACGTTACTCCCGTAAACTGGGACTACGAAGACAATTCCGTGCTTTCAACTCCCAAAACCAGGCCTCGTGCTTGTGGCCTTCTCGGCCGAATACAATTAGCCTCGGAATTACGCTTGATTCAAGAGACCAAATCTCACCGGAGGTGAGTCCAGCTCCCCGACTTTCAACATCAAATCGGTTTGGAATCATTACGCGAACGAGACAATATACGACGTGAGCGTCGGGCAACGGCCGTAACCATACCAATGCTCAGCCTGAGGCAGCAGCTTAACATGCTCTTCCCATCCAGTTTGATCGGGAGTTCGCGCGCATATCCTGCCGGAGATCCGTCAAGGGCCAATAAACATACGTATGGCGCATCCCACTCTTCCCTCTCCTTCTTGGCAAGGACGGCGTTCCTAGACTGCATGCTCCAAGTTGTCACGGTCCGTAACGCGGGGCCTGGGTGGGCAGAAAAAGCAACAGCCCTTCCTCTGACCTCAATCCTTATTGTACCACCGCAGCAAAAGGAATGAAACCATGAATAGCGCTCAAACCATCCGGAATGTTCCCCGGTAGTGCGCCTCTCTCATGCCTTAGTATCAAAGGAAAGCCATGCTCGAAGCTCTTTCTGCAGTGTACGGAGGTACTGTGCAGCTTTCTGCCCAAGATGCCGAGAGCTGCAAGTGTTCGGATGCGCGTCACTATGGGTCGATGGGCTTGACTGAACAACCACCTCAACACGTGGAATACGTACGCTCGATCCACACAAAGGTGTAGAGATGAAACCGACTCTCTGACATCGCGAAGAGAGGACAAGATCGTCCATCTGAGGTGAAGAGATAAAGATGCAGTGAACATATAGATAAAGTATCCAGCTGGCATTATCCAGGGGTCTGCTAACGACTGTTCCGTCACACCGTCCCATATTGCGGCAACATCCCCGCGGCCCCGCCCCCATGTCATCGTTTCTTTTGCAGCTTGCATGGAGTGCCCCCACACCGGTGAGATGGCACATTCAAAGGTGTCGCGACACCCATTCGATGCCAGTAGACCGACTGGTTGACACGGCAGACAAGAGGCATCACGCCTCGATCTGCCTGCAGCATGGTATTTCTAGAGGTCTTCGCCTTGCCATGCCCCCTGACTCTCTCACCCATCCTGACTGCACGGCTTCTAAACCAATCTAGCGTCTAGATCAAACGTCACTGGAAGGATCTCGTTGGCAGAAACATAGTGACGATATAGTATTGATTGGGTCTAGAACCTCTGGGCAAAGTACTTACCGGTACTCTGCCATCGGGACTCAGGAGTACAAGCATCTTGTCTACTAGACCGTCTTGGTCCTTTGATTCGCCCGAATACTCCCATCCCCAAAGCATTGAACAACCTCGGGCACGAAGGTATTGAGAGGCAGAGACCTCAAACATGGCGGTGGTAACTTCACGTTCGCAAAGCTGACTTGTTGTTTCTCATCCCTTTCTAGGCATTCCAATCACCTGGGTATACCCTGCATGCAGCTGTTTCTACCGAATCTCACATCAAGGGTGGATAAATGTCTTGCTGCCCAGTGTTGACCGCGACAGGTGGCACAGAAAGAATGGGAGACTGCCAACGTTGCACCCTAACAGTCCCTGTAAATTGAATTGCCAACTATCTATCGAGAGCGGATATGGTACCCACTGGCCCACACTTGTTGTGCAAGTAGCTTACACATAGATCATGTCAGTTGAAAGTGAGATCTGAGAGCTGAGACTGTAATGGGAGCACACGGAGCCGTGCCACTACAACTCCTTGGCCATAGGTTAGCGGAGAAGGGCACGATACACGCGTGCTTGCAGACGAATGCGAAAGAGAGCATTCGACTCGATCCTCGAACCGGTAGTGGCAACACTTTGCGATACCAAGAAATCACGAACCAATGAAACAGAAATTCCAAGCATCCAAAAGCAAAGAGAGACTATTCTTGTGGCAGATGTTGAATATGCCCCCCCCCCCCCCGACGCACATCCTCAAGCGCCCGCCCATCAGCATCACGCGCCCTCTCCGGAACGCATCGCCCACCTTGGTCCGGCATGTAACGATAGACGGCTAGATCGCGGTCCATCGTAAAAGTACCGCGGCGGCAATGACCGGGAGGACACTCACTAGTTCACCCAAGCCCGCAAATTCGGGCGGAATTCTGGCGTTGACAAAAGCGCCAGCGCCGAGGAGAATGGCAAACACATTGTATACGAAGCTCCAGCCAAAGTTGAAGGCGATCCTGTGGATAGCTTTCTTGCTAATGGCAATGATGGCGAGAATCCCCGCAAGGCTTGGACGCATGAGAACTACGTCCGCGGCGGACTTTGCGACGTCGGTTCCCTCGCTCATGTGCACGCCAATGGTGGCCTGGGCCAGTGCAACTGCGTCGTTAGTTCCGTCGCCACAGAAGATGACGACTGGCTCTTTCGGATTCTTCGCTCTGACTCGGCGGGCGTCCGACAAAGGTTGAGACAGTAGGTTCTGGATGTACTCTTGCTTGTCTCCAGGGGTGCATCGGGAACGAACGTTGAGATCTGGGATGCTCAATCGTGAGGCCACTGTTCGGACGGCACCATCATCATCCCCGGAGAGAATATGAACAGAAATTCCGGAAGCCTGTAGGTTGGAAATTGTTTCAAGGGTATCTGGGCGGATAGAGTCTTCGAGGCCAAAGACAGCGACCAAGGAGTTGTCCACAGTGAAGCAGAAGGCAGTGTAGCTCTCGGATAGAACTGATTGAACTCTGTGGTCGTTAGAGAGACCAAGCCAACGCGAGTTGCCAGCTCGAAGAGTGGCTCCGTTGAGTTTCGCCTCCACTCCCTTGCCCGTGAGGGCCTTCAGATCCGTGACGGCTGTAGGTGCACCAACGTGTCCCTTTAGATGAGTGACAATGGCAACGGAGACTGGATGTTTAATAGTACCAACGAGGCCGAGAAGCAACGATCTGATGGTTTCTTGATCTTTTGTGAAGTACGCCTCGTACGCAACTCTTAGGTTTCCAGTTGTAAGGGTTCCAGTTTTGTCAAAGACAACGTGCGAAGTCTTATAGGCAAGCTCAATGCTGTCCGCAGATTTGAAGACGACACCCTTTTCGGCAGCTACACCACTCGCGATTAAAATGACCATGGGGACTGCGAGACCTATAGCGCATGGGCAAGATACAATGAGGACGGTGATGGCGTATGTGACTGCCTGGATAGTTGCTTCAGAGCCACTCTGTTTGCGAACCGCGATGCCAACCGCGATCCAAATCGAGAAAGTGATGATGGTGATGGCCGCAACTACCGGTACGAAGTATGACGCGACTCTGTCAGCAATGTCCTGTATCTTTGGCTTGGAAAGTTTAGCCTCGTCGACCATTCCGGCGATGTTACTGATGGTATTGTTGCCAGGAAGTCTAGTCAGACGAACGGTAAGAGCGCCAGAGCCGTTGATAGTGCCAGCAATGACTGAAGATCCAGTAGACTTTTCGATGCGTCCCGATTCTCCAGTCATCATTGACTCATCAACTACCGAGGAACCAAAGATAACTATTCCATCGGTAGGAATTCTAGAGTCTGGGATTACCTTGAAGGCGTCTCCGTACTGAAGGAGACGGGTGTCAATCTCCTCGTCTTCGCCAACTGAGTTAACGATCAGAGCCGTAGAGATCTGGAGAGATCGTATCGAGATAGATTCGATGGCTTTTTGTCGCGCTAGAGCGCTCACATACCGACCAACCATGATGAGTGTTACAAGAAGAGTGCTCGTTTCGAAAAATTCCCCAGTCGAAAGAGGCTTCTGGGAGACAAGAAACCCAAATGACACAACGGAGAAGATGTACGCGGCACTTGTGCTTAGCACGATCAGCAGATCCATCTCAATGACTCTCGAAAAGATCAGACTCTTCAAAGCTTTCGGATAGAAGGGCCCAGCAATTGCGACTTGTACAATCGTCGCCAAGACCAGCGATGCGGAGCCATAAGCTATTTCTCTCTTTGGAAGAGGTGCCCAAGCCATAATGAGAACGGGAATCGTCAGGATAGTGGAAAGCAAAGTGATGCATCCCATGGTGCGAATGTGCTTGCTTCCAGCCTCCAAAGAAGGGTCCGCTCGAAGTGGCGCCAGCGTAACAGGCGTTCCCCAACCCGTTTCGACCAAATCGCGGGCCCCGACGACCTTCGCGTCAAATTCTACATGAATACTGGCCTTGTCTAAAACGCGAATGTCCGTGACGCCGTTAGGCCATGGCTGATTGACGAAAGCTTGGGTATCGCCAGGGCAGATGATGTCGACACTGGCAGCACCCTGCCTGGTGATCTTTTCGCATTTGAACTCAGTTGTTCGTTCGAGACATTTGATGACTTCATCCACCGAGCCGAAGCCAACATTCAAGTCGAATTCGGCTCTAGCCAATACCAAGCTGGTCTTCAGGTTTTTGACTGCGTTCATCGTGGCTAGAGTTCGTCTGAGCTTGGTTTCGCATCCAGTGCAGGTCATGCCAGAAATGCTCAGTACGACGTGTTCCTTTCCAATCAGGCCCTGTTCAAGATCCTCGTCGATACCCTTCGACTTAGGCGGCAGCGATTGGTTGATAGGTCCCGGAGACTCGTCGCGACAGGAGTCGGCACATGATCCAACAATGCTCTGAGGCTTAGGTCTCGAGCAGCCGCCATCGTTACATGCATTTGGTTTGATGCCAGAGATTGGACTGCGGACTGTCTTTTTGCCGCATTTTCTTGCCGTCGGACGGGAAGCGGATTTGTCCACCCCGGAAGCGCAGCAGGAGTCAACCGAAGCGCGATGAAGAGACGTGGGCTTCTTTGAAGATCGCTTTCGTTCGACGGAGGAGCGCTCACGGGGAGCACAGCAAGATTCCTGGCCGAGAGCTAGAAGTGCACGGCAGATACAACCCAAGGCATCGAGCTTTAACTGATAAATCTCACGTACGCTTCGAGAATGGCCTCGGCACGCCTTGCCGTCTTGGCCGCCGGTACAATTGTTGTCAGTGGAGACTTGTGCGGATCATATTAGCAGCTAGAAACAATAAGCTCTTTGCACGAAAATTTACCTTGGTGCGATTGACGAAGATTCGAAGCCTTTCCGCTTGCGCATTCGCGCAGAGCGAGGCGATCGATACAAGTAGAGTCGCAGCAAGGGGACGTCTTGCCCTCACAACAGCTGGGTGTCTTCTCTCCACGAAAGTCAGGTGCAGGACCAGAGAAGCAACAGCCCTTTTTGCCATCATCTGAGCAGATCTTGAGAGCTTCATCGCCACCAGATTTGGTCACGGCAATTTGCCTGCCCGCAATTCCTCCAATTGATGTGGTCTCAAGGCTGTCGGTTGGTATTTTGCCCGTCGCCAAGCCACAACATCCTGACGAGCAGTCCTTGGGGTTCGGAGCACAAGAGTCCTGTTTGAACTCAGGAGTATGGGTTGAGGCTACAATTGACTTGGAAGCGAGGTCATCTTGTTTGAACCGGCACCCAACGACGAGACGTTGCTCTGCGGACTCTTTGGCAGATTCGGCGATGCTGTTGTCTTTAGCGCTCATTACAACAAATTGTTCGTTCTGAGATCCGCAGCAAGCATTCGCACAGTCGTCATTCATGACTTTTAGAACGCAACAATCTTCTTCAGCCTGTACTGAGTCGATGTTGCCGTTGTTGGACGAGGCGCAGCAGTTCTGGAGGATCGTGTTTCCGGAGTCCTTGTCTCTTCCATGGTCGGTCTCCTTGCATTCGTCCACCTGTGTTTCGGGAGCAACATTCGAATCAATCTCTTCACTTGCGCAACAGGTGTCGACAGCACCACGGTCGTCGCGGTTTAATCCACTTGGGGGCGAGGAGACTGCAGGCGGGCCGTCCCTTGCGACAGGCTGTCCCTGTTGAAGCATGGGACCGCAGCAGCCAGATCCACAGGCCATTGTAAGCCTCGTGACGTTGAATATGCAATTCTCTCGTGGGTTTCTTCTCGCCGATTGTGAAATTGATGTGTGATGTGAATTGTGATAGGCAGATGAGATGGAACGTCGGCGGAACTGCGCGGGAGCTTCCGTGGGAACTGCGGATCCGGTCCCGGAGGCACGTGCTCGGAGGGGTGGATCAACCCACACCCGCTTCCGGGATGCTTAGGTAATGTTATACCAAGATCACCGAACGCCACACCTCATGTGGCGGTGCAGCTCAATGATCAGTATGTGTTCCTCCAGCACATATCTTCAACTCTTGTTATGTCCATCAAGCGGTGCTAAGGTTTACAATGGAGCACTCTGGAAGGATTAAGTCCAATTTGAGGCAGATCGATACTTGGAAACACACACATAAATTGACCGATAGTTTTCTGTTTCATAGGTTTCTCAGGTCACATCTGCAAGCTCAGATTGTGGCCACTGACCAACGTGTTGACGAAAATATTCGAATAACGGTGGGCACCTCAACTCGACAAAAATCCCCACAGGCACTGTTTGACAATTTGTTTTCCTTTAGGGCAACCCATTTGATAGCACTCACTCAGTTCGCCTACCCAAAAATCAGTGCGCCCTCACGGACTTCTGGCTTTCCTTGCTTGACTTTCTGGAGGATGACTTGTGCCGTTTAGAGCTGTACTCCAAATCAACCCTGTAAGCCGCGCCTCGGCTTGCTGACGTCAGAGATCCATAAGAGGTATTGCTAGATGCAGATGATTTGTACGAGTTGTTGCTTCTCGAACACGAGCCTGATGCGGACGGCGACACAGTCTCTGCGTTCTCATCCACAGGGGGAAATCCGTTGATCTTGGATAAGGCAGAACCTCGACGGTGAGATCGACTGGAAGAGCCGTAGCCAAACTTGCGACTAGCGGCCCCCTGGCGGAGCTCACTGAATGTCATATCTGGGGTGTTCGTTTGTGTTGGGACTAGGCCAATTGGTTAGCTTCATGGTTAAAAGGTACACACCGAGGATCACTAGACTCACGGTAACGTGCACACTCCGCACAGCACCCATGATCGCAAGTTTGAGACTCATTGACGGGAGCGGAAATGCCGTAGCCTGAGGAGGCTTTTGGCATTGTACACCAGCCCTGAGTATTGGGACCCTGGTTACACTGACAACAAGTCCAGGTGCCACCCATCGCCTTAAACTGACAGTTGATCAAAGGACAGTCGGCATTGCTGGGCTGAGCAGTCGCATAACTCAGGTGCGAGCATGGAGTCTCTACACCTGTTTCTAGATCGATCAGAGCCGAAGGACAGTAGTGCCAGTTGATTGAGGTATGCGAGCAAGGGTGGAGACGAGGGTGGCCGTGACACATGGTGGAGGATGGCGATGTGCAAATTTGTCAATACTTGACGATATAAGATGGCGGCGTCACTATAGGAATATAATGAACGAATTATGGCGGTCATTTGTCAAGTTGACTGAAATTTGCCAAACCAAGCAGCTTGCTGCAACTTATATACTACACATTTCGGCTTTCTTGGTGACCTCTCCTTGCACATGACAAAATTTGTACAAATTTACCGTACTTCCATGATCACTATTCCGTCCTTAGTGCCGATGAACGCCTCTTTTGGTTTCTTTTCTCACATCTACTGACACATGTTCACTTCTACCGACCATCTCGAACACCACCCTCACTTCACATCTCATCTGTCATCATCCCTCGCACACCGACAGTAAGGGTCGTGGAACCCAAGGTCAAACATGGCCCCAACTGACTGTTTCTGGGATTCCAATGTCTCGGGCTGCATGGTGAACGGATTGGTTGGTGTGGGTGTTATGTGTTGCATCCATACTTGAGGGTGCGGAAACATAATCAGGCAGCCAATAAAACAACCTGCTTGTGCGGCCAAGAGTCCTCCAACACGCCTTAGTCAAATCTGGGTGAAGTCCCCGACGGGCACTCGCAGCTCTGTGTCACACCAGTCCACCCATTATTGCAACACAACGATCTCCACCATCATCAATCTCTGTGTTACGCGACTTACATCGGAACCATAGGAATGAATTCCTCCACGAGTGGTTTAAGCAGCGGATGAGAAGTCCGCCCTCCCGGTGCCTGGGTTCGTAAGATCTCGCTAGGAAGCTTGACGCATGACTCTCTTGTAATAGTTTAGATGGAGGGTTTCACGATAATCACGATCCTTATTCGGGGCTGATATTAGCCCCGATACTGAGCCTCGCCAATCGGCTGCTTCGAAATCTGAGTGGTCGGATGCAAAGTGGCGTGAGTTAGGAGGGGTTGTTGGTTGGATCGAAATGCAAGAGTGCAGGATCTAGAGATTGAGCTGGCTAGCTGCTTAATGTGACCCAAGTTTGAGCCCATCCGATCACGATCGTGTTGAACTACTTACAGATACGGGATCTGGGCAAACATCATGCAGGAACGCGGCACAGCTAATGGTTGCGGTGAAATTTCAATCAGTTAGGAAGATTATATATATTATACAATGTGTGAGACATGTGGCTATCTGAGATTCCCCTGCAAGCACCCATTGCCACTGACGATGGCGATGGGTGTCACTGTGAGAACTGGCCGGCTTACTTGACCACTGCGACCATGTTAAAGAGAAAACAAGTGGAACCCATCCTTTCTATGTATCTCTGCACCCACCACTGATTCATAGTCCGTTTTTGGGTTTGAGCCCGTCCAAAGATAGATTGCCCGGCATCTAGTCACTTGAGGACTTAACGCCGAGTCTTTATCCTTCTCTTCCCTCAACTCCTAAGCTCCAAGAGGTCGTTTGTTTCCACAGGCCACCCGATCCACGTTTCCATGATTTTTCTTTTTTGGAAATGTTCAACCATCCATGGCGGCAGTACACGTCAAGCAGCAAATATGCTCGCAGCGGTACTCGTTTCCGTCAATGATCATGATGCAACTACATCTGCCTCCATCGTTCCAACCCTTGCCGCACCAGCAGCAGTTCCAGCATCTGTTGCGGCTTTCATATGGGCAGTTTGCCAAAGGGCACTTCGGTAAGGCTCTCTGGTCATAGCCTGGGGGAGGAGGGTACGGGATGTTTTGTTGAGTAACATCTCTGCAAGTCTTGCGCTTGGATGAATCTTTTTTCGAGGATGCCGAAGCCTTGGAACAGTATTCGATTTGAGTCTGAATATGCTCGCAGGGCAACTTGAAAGCTATTGTGTGGCACATGGCGTCTTGCTACGAGGTTTTCGGGTGTCAATGTGTCTGTCGATATGAGGATATCACAGTCGGAAGTCTAACAAGATAGAAAAGCTGGAATCGAATAGTCAAGTGAAGGTTTGAGAGCCACAGGCACGTTTTGATGCTTAATATTCCGATGTTACTTCTAGTTCCTGAATTACTCGTCGACTATTCCGGGGATTCTATCCTCATCTATATACCCATCATCTTAGTATAGAAATCTACAGAAAAAGACGTTTCGGCGATCTGCTCTGATCTGTCGGTAAGCATATTGGGGCGGCCACGATTTCTTTCCCTTCCCCTGACGATCAGTAACCACTGCATCGGGTCCCAAGCGAAGGCTTTGGCGGCCTGTTCGCGAGAGGCGAGCAAATGACTCGCAAGATGCATCCAAGATCAAATAGTTTGAAGGGTTATTGAAAGAAAAACGTGGCAGCCAGGTCTCTGATATGTATCAGGGACCGACTTCGGACGCATTGAATCCCGGAGCTTGATCCGTATCTGCTTTCCGTGAGAACAAAATCGCGACAGACACTTAAGTCAGGCAAATGTGCGAACCATTTGTGTGAAACACGCAGTAGAAAAGATAGTATTTCGATTGGTCTATATTGCTTCATGTGTTGCAAAGGCTCCCAAGCCTCTTCGTCTCCATCGTTCAGCCTCGCGCGTGGAGTTGGGCTCGTGGTGATCAGCCAGGAAGCAAGTTGATCGCCAGGAGGCGCTCTCGGCCGATGACAACACCCCCTGCCTGATATTCTCTCCAATCTGACTGGTCTTCATCCCGATCCGTGTACGGCCCGACATCAGCTGCTGGACTAGGGCCTAAAAGCCTAGACTCTGATACCCGTTTTTCCACGGCCCATGAAGAGCCGAGAACTTGGATGTGGCGGCTGGTGAACGAGCATCGAGTGAGATATGGCGCCACTTCTGGAATAGCAAATTGTCGGTCTGTTGAAAGATTCCAAATCACTCTTGCGAACTCCTCGTGTATTCCTTCCTGTCTCCACGTCGTCGCCTATCATCATAGCTCAGTGGGTGTGCGGTGCCCATTAACCTGTCTTGCTCTAGCGTGGTCGTCAGGACTCAGGTGTTAGTGTCCGCCGTACAATTTTTGCAGACTTGGTGGTAACAGAAAGTGTCTGGACTCTTCTTCATTTTGTGTCGACACCAGCGCATTGTGTTGCTTCCTCTGCTGCATTGACAACAGATCCAATGACTGTTCAACTCTTTCAAACGGCAGCTGCCGGCACTGCAATCGGGAGAAATCAGACAGCCTCCGGTTGCGCAAGGATTATCAAAATCAACGTTCTGGACCGCATTGGAAGTGACTCTATCGCAGGGAGTCTGGAAGCTGCCATCCGAATCTCTTGAATCTCTTCCAGCGTCTATGCAGAATTCCCAGTGGAAAACATTGTCAATCGGCCGAGGGCACGGCTGAACGTGGTGGTGGTGAAGGTAGGACCAAGTGCACATGGTTGATGTCCCTGAATCCCTCCCTTGAGTTGAGCTGAGAGATTTCAAGGTAGCGGTAATCTTCACGAAGGCTGCTGCCGTAAGTGCTTCCCCGTTTAGGTAGTTGGAGGTAGTAAGGTATCGAAAATGTCGAGACCAGGAACGAAAAGGAGTCCCAGACAAGGTGCGGAGACCGATCTCAAGGACAGGAAATTCCGTGGTTGATCGAAATATGACGTGACACAAAGATGCGAACCCCGAACAGATGCTTTGTGTAAGCAGTGGGAGGCAAGAGACGGTTCGAGGAATTGCGGACTCCGGGCGAACTGGGTTTATTGTGGATGATGGAGCTGGGTGTCGGTTTGGGCCGACTTATGAACAGAATGCCGATAAAAATTGATTATCACAAGCAGCCTGCATCTGCCAGACAAGGTAACAGTGAGTTTTCAAGTAAAAGCCTGGTGACTCGGGGAAACGGTTTGACATTGATTGGGATGGTATCCTGTGATGTTTCGATGCTATTGCTACCGAGGGTTTTCGACCTTTCTAAGTGCAGATAGGAATCCTCTTATACGCAATACCATTAGACTCTTAATAAGTTACTTGATGTAGTCAACAGCTGCTTCTCGCTCAACCTCAAGGATTGGGCATCTAACCCATCTCAAAGCCCCAGCTCCTCATTACCAAGCTGTTGGGACCTGAACACCTCATTTCTCTCATGTTTACCTCATGAACCCCGAGAGAATGGCACGATCCCTCTTCCAGGCTTCAATAATTGGCTGTCATTGCCAAACCCATGGGTCGCAATTCTGACTGTCTCTCCGGAGAATGGCGAGGCACGTGGCTTGCGCATGCCCACCGGTCTTGCAGCCAGGGTTCTCTTCAATGTGAAGTTCCAATGATATCAAGAGGAATGAGACACATAGGCACACTTCTGTAACAATGCACAACCTCGGGAAGATTGCCTTTTCGTCGCCCATATGGAGGCCACATGAGATGGGCATGGCAATCAGCCACAAAGGCGCTATTCACCCTGGCTCCTACGAGTTGCCATTCTCATTTCCGGGCTACTGGTCCCGTTAATCAAGGCCGGCTGGACTAGGAATGATATTCGCACATCATCGTGATATTCGAAGGCGTTATGGAATCTCCCTAATGTCTGTAGAGCACCTTTCTCGAAGCTGATATGGGACAGCACCATGTACCCCAGAGTTGCCTTGTCACAAAGTGGATGTACAGCATTTTCGTGTGATCCCGGGCCTCAAGACTCGGTGCCACGAAGGTTCACTTATTTCCAATGATGAGAAAACGTCAAGTCCTCCCATTTCAATGCCAGTGTAAGAGATTAATGATCCAATACATCTTATTCGCAATCACGTCGGCTTGTTGGAGGAGGAAAGAGGGGTAAGTAATGAGATGGCATGATGTGCAGAGGAGAGGGCTTGTAGAATGTGTCCGATTATTCCCTTCAGTCCTGAATCGTCGAGAGCTGCAAGATTTAGGGCTTTCTTAGATTTAGGCTCGGAATCGAGGCTCTAGCAGGAGTCAGGTGAATGGCGACCGACTCCTAGCATCACCGGCGTTTGGCACGGTTAATCGGGTCACACACAGGTTACTCCATAGTCTTCAGCCCCAAACTCGCGGCAACTGTGCGCGTCAGTCAAAGGAGGGTCCCATACCTTAGACAGCACGATCTTTGACTCTGTTGGATTGTTCCTGTGTGCTTGTTACGCTACTATCAGTGGCCACCAACAGTTCCGATATTCAAGAATCACCTACGAGAGCTCTTACAAGAATAGTGACATGTAGCAGCTAACACATCCATTCAGTAATGCTTAACCGCGAAAATGTTATCCAGCCAAAGTCCAGGCACCATGTCCAATGACAACGTTCGGCCAATTCCGACGTAGAAGGATAAAATACTGTAAGTGCAGACTACTGTAAGGCACGCCAGATCGACCACTTATAACAAGGCCCAGCCGCTTCTGTGGCTGTTTGAAATGGTGACACTACAGGTGATAAGCAGAAAGTGCGATCGAGGTCTGTCAAGTCATGCAGGTTAGAGTGAATGGCTGATATAGAGGCTTCCTGGCGTACCTACTTCCCAAGTCCCGAGAAATCGGAAGTCCATTCTTCAGCGACGGGGTGACTGGAATGAGATATCAAGCTTCACTGGCCGGATTTCTTTCACTTGATGGACCAAAGTACTTTAGTCTCATCACGAAATAGTTCGTTTCGATCGAATCCTAGGACGTTGAACTTTTGCGTATTGTTAGACATCGGGTCGGAACACTCTTCCGAATTGAGAATTTGTGCCGGAGATATATCATACGATAGAAAATCCGCCTACCGAAAATGCAATGCGGCTGTACCTTCCCGTCGGCTACACAAGGTCAAGCATTGGCTCCTCGGTTACCAGCAGAGCCGGGAAAGCGCAAGGCCTTCCCCATTGCGATGCGTCTCTATCAACGAAAAGGACTGATGGAGCTGAGACAGCCATGAAATAGTCAATAGCTTCACTCCTCGGAGCTGATTCGAAGCTTACGGCCGGAGAAAACATAGACTGCCGCGCTTCATGGGTAGTTGAAGCTGGACTTGGACAACACTGGGCTCCTGATTTCCACACAAGCCGTAACACAGACGTGTCTGAATCAGGTTGAGGCAAGTTTTCAGGGTGGTACAAAAGGCCTAGATCTGAAAGATTATAAGCTGTGCGAGTGGGAGCCCTGGAAGCCCATGTCTCAGTAAACGACGTTTAGCGCCGCCATCGAGAGGCCAAGTGCTCGGCAAGAGAAAGGATTCGTCACTGAACGATTCGAGATGCTGACCACCTGCACCTCTCGTTTCGTAATTTTGTGCTTACCTATGTGATTTGGCCCTCATTTTACAGACTATTTGCCATCCGCTGCCATCCGCTTTTCTCAAAAGCAGTCCATAACTTCAGCTAGCTACCTAAGATCGACTGAATACACAAGCGCTCTTCACGATGATACTCTAACATGCATGTGCTGAAGGTCATAGTTTCTCCCGAAGCTTAAATTATTGAGGAGACTACCAACGAATAGCAAATCAATATATGACATCTTCAACGAAAACGACCGCTCATGTATCAGAAGCCCATGGGACTATCCTCAAGAAATATCCCAAATTCTACTGCAGAAGTACCAAGTCATTTTATTTATCTCTTATTATGATAAGCTCTTGATCAGTTGACGAAAAGCTGGAAAAATCCCAAGACATCTGAGCTTCTCGCGGTCTCACTAAGTAAGACGGAAATCGCCAATCTTCTCTCGATGAAAGAGAACTGAGCAAGACAACTTGTCGCTTTGATCGTAATCGTCTTAGTCTAGACTGCATGATTGGACGCTCCTCCCGAAAGCCAGCATGGCAAACATGAAATGGCATGATCCTAAGCTAAGGGAGCTCCCCGTGAGCCGTTTGCATTCCTGACTTTTCATAGTTAACGCCAATCACCACGTTCCTCCCCGCATACTTCGACTGATCCAGCTTGAATCGGCTAACAACAAGCGCGAGGAGCTGAAAATCTTCAGCCGCTCCGCGAGAATTCAGTGGCAGTTGACCGTTCAACCCCTCACCCGCACCCGTAGTTGCCGGTGAGTGTCTTATCGCATCTGGGCAAGCGGTGATCCACGGTTCAAACCTTGTCACGCTTGTCGACCTTGTTAGCCTGGTGTTGTCTCAGGACGGAGCGGGACGCGACCAATCACTTCTAACCCCTTACTTGCCGGCTAGTTCCTTGGGCTGGGCCGGCGGCTGGCAGCATCAAAAGCGGGCTGTTGCTTCGGTCACATATCACTCTGATTTCTATTCATGCAAGTGTTTGCTTTTCCGAGATTGCATGTTCTCTGTGATGCTCTAAGGATCTCCTATCACCCTTCCGAAGATGCAGGGCGCGGACCTTACTGTAGTCAGACTATCTGAGCACCATTAAGTAGCTTTAACATCGACTATGAAACATGAATATCTGTCAGTCGTGATTCTGGGTCGAGTGAAGATCACCGAATTGTATTCCTCGGATCAGTCGGTCGAATTTCGTGGCGGTAAGCATTTTTCTCAATCCGCATTCCATATCCGGTTTCGATTATGAGTCGAAGCGCCACGTCGTTCCAGCCCAAAGTCATCACGGTCTTGAATGTATCCCTCCTCAGCCATCAGCAGACTAGGTAAGGCCTGAATCATCCGCGAGCGATGATGAAGGCGAAAAACTAGGCTTGCTGATATGATAACGTACCGATGCGAATCGTGCTCAAAAATGCTCAAACCCCCTATCTCATGACTCCCATGAAGCAAAGCCTGTCGAGCAGGTTCTCATCATTTATCTTCTAAGCCGGCTTTCGAGCTGCCTCGCGAAAAAGCCACCATGTTGGCCCTTCGTCATGTCTGGATCATCGTTACTGATGTTGCCAATTCACTTTTCGGTTCACCGTTCTTCCGAGATGGACCTCAACACCACTTAGGAGCAAAGTTTAGCTGGCCTCACACCGGCCTGGAGACCGCTGGACATGGCAGTCCTGTCTTCACGCCTCCTGGCAGCAACATTGATAAATTTGTCTGTGACTACAGCCAGATGAAAGGCTTCAAGCCATGCGGCACTGCAGAGGACCGGAGCTGTTGGCTTCGCAACTCGGATACTGGAGAAGAGTACAATATCACAACCGACTACGAGGATAAGATGCCGCAAGGTATTACTCGTGCTTACTACCTCAACGTTACGGATGGTTACATCAATGCGAACGGCCTGAATTTCACCGAAGCAAAGCTGTTCAACAACACTTGGCCTGGGCCTCTCATTGAAGCTTGCTGGGGTGACACTGTCGAGATCCACGTTCAGAACCTCCTCGTCAACAACGGAACCAGCATTCACTGGCATGGCATCAGGCAGAATCAAACAATGCAGATGGACGGTGTCAACGGAATCACACAATGCCCAATCGCCCCGCAATCCAGCTTTGTCTATCGATGGAATGCCACACAGTACGGCTCCTCATGGTATCACAGCCACTACTCGGTTCAGTACGCCGATGGACTGCAAGCCCCCATAGTAAGTCGTTCAATTGGATCTCCAGTCTCTACAAGGATTGTGTGCTAATAAACGTACTTCAGACCATCCACGGACCAACATCCTTCCCGTACGACGAGGCTATTGAGCCGATCTCGGTGACTGATTGGGGTGAGTCAGGCTATACCATTTGACGTCCGCATTGTCTGACTGTATCGAATTGATGCTGATTAATGGATTTCAGCGAACAATAGTGCATTCGAGAACATGTACACAGCTGCAACGGGACAAGATATCCTCCTGGGCGGCATCGGGAACATCACTCGATTCACTGATGGAGGTATTGACAACATCACAGAGATTCCCCGCGGTTATGAGATCTGGTTCGATGACATTGAGCCTAACCACTTGACGAGAGCAAAGCGGTACCTCTTGCGCCTTGTTAACACTGCTTATGAGTCGACGTTTATCTTCTCCATCGACAACCACATTTTCAC